CTTCCTTCCTTCCTTCCTTCCTTCCTTCCTTCCTTCCTTCCTTCCTTCCTTCCTTCCTTCCTTCCTTCCTTCTTCCCTCCCTTCCTTCCTTCTTTCCTTCTTCCTTTTCTCTTTTCCTTCTCTCCTCTTTCTTTTTCTTTCTTTTCCTTTTCTCTTTTTTCTGTCTCTTTCTGACTTTCTTTTTCTTGCTTTTTCTTTCTCTTTCTCTCTTTCTCTTGCTTTTTTTCTTTCTCTTTTACTTCAATTCATGCAACATCTTCTAAAGCATGTAGGAGTGTTGCTTTTTGTATGTGAGGACACACAAGGTGGAAATCACAGATATTTTGGAAATCCTAAAATAACAGAGCCCAGAGTTGGTCAAGCATCTCAGCTCAGGGTACAAAGTATAAAGAAGGTTCACTTTCCTTCCTCGGTAGCAGACAGTATCACTACAGGAGTCTTCCTACAGCCTTAAATAATGTGGTTTTTTAAACTGAACTCAACATAAAAACAAACGTTTATTAAGAGAACAAAGGTACCCTGCAAGAAACTGGTTTTCTTTCTTGCCAGGATAAGGACATGGTGGGTAATTGCAATGTTGAGACAAGGAGAGCTTCCTTGTTTCCTCTTGTCTGAGGGGAACATAGCATTTGGCTGTGAGGAAAAATGACATCAGCAAGTAAGAAAGCCCAGGCACCCTGGTGGAAAGGCCCACTGGCACATACCAGGCCAACAAAGACTGCGCTCACTTGGCAGAGTGAGGCTGGCACTCACCACCGCTGCAGGGGAGGAGAATGAGGAGGATGGGGATGAGGATGGTGACAGCTCAGTTTTCTATAGTGCTTTATGGTTTACTCCATTCCTGGGATTAGCCACTTGGCAAACACCCATATGTTCACTTTGGGGGAAGGGAAGGAGAAGGACAATCAAGCCAGAAAGAGAAATAATTATGAAGAGAAAAGCTATTTCTATCTGTCCCCCATCCCCCTCATCAGGAGCTGACTCTGGGACAATTAGGATCATAGCTTTAGAGCTGGATGGAATCTGGAAGGTCATGAAGCCCCACCCCCTCATCTTCAGGATGACAAAAGGTTCCATGACTTGCCCAAATGAATCCTCTTCTTCCAGACACCAGCTTCAGTGCTCTAACCACAGCACCATCCTGTCTCTCAAAGCCTCCAACTTTCTTTTCTCCAAGGGAGGAACAAATCAGAACTTTAGGTCTTCAGCAGGAGCAGGGGTTAACCAGCAGGGCGTGCTCAGGACAAACCACCCAACCGGAGCCAAGGAGCAAGACCCAAAGGGGCCATTCTCATTGCATGTCTCACCTGGGGCCATAGATGAACTAGTGGGTTGTTAGAAGCTTTCCCAAGGGCAAGGAAAAGACATGGTTCAGGGGGAATATTAGTCAGCAGCCTAGCATGTGCCTTTCTCTTTGCAGCTCTCTTCAGCATCCTTCCATGCTAGGTTTAATTGTGGGATTTTTAGTCAGCAGTTGGAAAGGCAATAATCTCAGCGGCTGCTGAAGGATGTGGAGATCCACCCTCCTTTTTTCTGCTTTTCTTGTACCTTTCCAAATCAGGAATCTTATTTTCCTGTGTGTAAACTGCCTTGTTTTGACAACATAGAATCATGGGATAAGAGATTTGGAGCTGGAAGGGACCTCAGAGGCAATGTAGGCCATTTTACATATGAGGAAATAAAGGTCCCAGGAGGTTTAGGACCTTTGGCAAGTAATTTCTTCTCTCCGGGCCTCAGTTTTCTCATCAGTAAAATGAGTGAGTTGGATAAGATAACTCCCAGTCTCAACCATCTATGATTTGAATATTTGTAATACCTTGGCTTCAAAGATACTACAAGACCTACCAGCAGAAGCCCTGGATTTCCAGGTCCAGAGACCTGTTTTCAAGTTCAGTGTTTGAGAATAATTCTCTGTGACCTTAGACAAAGCACTTTACTCTCCTGATCTTCTGCTCTTCCTCCATCAAATAGGAATAATAACACCTGTCTTACCTACCTCACAGAGTTATTAGGAGGATCAAACAGGGTAACATAAAGCACATCATTTTAATTACTTATACATTAATAATAATTGAATATCCTAATATCTGTTTGACAGCAAGGTATACAGTTAATATTCCATTATATTCATGTATCAAGACTTGTTAGATAATTCATTCAACAGCAAGCATCTACTTCATTTCTGGTTCTTTGGTACAAAAAAAAGTGCTGCTAAAATATTTTGGTATATATGTAGCCTTTTTATCATTGATTTCCTTGGGCATTTGGTGATTAATTTCCATAGGGAGCTAGCTGATACAGTAGATAGAGTGCTGGACCTGAAATGAAAAAGACACGAATTCAAATCTTCTCTGAGACAGCTTCTAGCAATGGGACTCTGGACAAGTCGGTTAACCTCTCTTTGCTTCACTTTGCAGATCTTTAAAATTGTAGTTGAGTTGTTGTTCGGTTGTGTCCATCTCTTCATGACCCCATTTGGGGTTTTCTTGTCAAAGATACTGGAGTAGTTTGCCATTTCCTTCTCCAGGTAATTTTATAGATGAGGAAACTGAGGCAAATAGGGTTAAGTGCCTTTCCCAGGGTCACAGAGCTAGTAAGTGTCTGAGGCCAGATTTGAACTCAGGAAGGTAAGTCTTTCTGAGCACTCTATTCACTACACCACCTAGTACTGTAAAACGGAGATAATAATAACACATGCTTCTCAGGGTTGTTATGAAGATCAAATAAGAAAAGATTTGTAAAATGCTTGGCAAATCTTAAAATACTATGTAATGTAGAAGTAGTAATAGTAATAGGATATTCCTAGCAATTGGTGCTCTGGGTCAAAGAGCATGAACTCAGGTGGTTTAAGGAAAGAATTGTTCTTCACCTTCACCCACACTAGGAAGACTGTGGAATCTGAGGGTCCCTGAAGCCATTGGTGGCAATGAATTCTCATCATCACTCATCATCATGGTCACATACTAGAATGAATCTATTCTGTACTAAGGTGGATACACCTTAGTGCAAATAATAACCACACCACTGTGCCAATAATAACTCACCCAGGCTATCTCAACCTGTGTGAAAATTTGTTTATATCTTTTCTTAAATCTCTTAGTTCTTTTATCATTTTCTGAGTAGCAAGGCAACACGCAGACTGCCCATCACTTACCCTCAATACATAATAGGACCACCTTTTCTGTCATATTTATCATTACACATATGTAGTATTTTAAGATTTAAAACTATTTCCCTCATGGTAACCATGCTAGTTAGGGAGTGAATATGTTTTTACATGACCATTTTACAGATGACAAAACTGAGGATCTGAAGAGTAAAATGACTTATCTAAGGTCTCAAAGTGAATTAGTATTAGAGTTTATAGAGTAATCATCCACTCCCCATGCCAGTGGTGCTTGTGTACTGCTTTTGAAGAACGGGAAGACACAGACAGAGGTTTATCTGTTGCTCAGTTGTGAAGTCTGGCTGTCCCCATGCCTGGAATGCTCTCTGTCCTCATTTGTACTTCCTGGCTTCCCTGGCTTCTTTTAAGTCCCAGCTAAAATCCCAGCTTCTCCAAGAAGCCTTTCCCAGTCCATCTTAATTCTAGTGCCTTCCTTCTGTTAATTATTTCCTATATATACTGTGTCTAGCTTGTTTGTACACAGCTGTTTGCATGTCGTCTCTCTCATTAGGCTGTGAGCTTCCTGGGAGTAAGGACTGTCTTTTGCCTCTCTTTTTATCGCCAGTGCTTAGCACAGTGCCTGGCACATAGCAGGTGCTTAATACATGTTTTTTGATTGACTGATCTTCCTACATGGAAAATCTCCCATCTCCAAACTGCATCTGCTTACTGACTGACTTCTGAGCTGCTGCAGATCCTAAATACATACAGCAGAACTGAAAATTAAAAGGGCCATTATCACTTTGTCCATTTAGTTATAGCTTTCCTTATGCACAAATTTGATCTTATTATTCTTCTCATGCTCAAAACAACATAGATCCCCACTTCTGTCTCCACATAATTTCCTTGGCCCTTCAAGGCTCTCCATAATCTAGCACCTTCCCAATTATATGTATTTTACCATCTGGAGTATTTGAAGGTCTCCATATATTCTGTGTGCTTTTCCACATGAAGCAGGATGGTGGAATAGGGGTTGGGGGTTATAGTAATCATTTCTAAGGTCCCTTCTAGCTCTAACATTCTATGATCTATGTACTAAAACTCCTTTCAGAATTGGCATTCTCTGTTCCGTATTTAAGGGTCCTCCAAGCTCTGACTGTTGATGTTCTGTGTTCTAAGGCCCCTTCCACCTCTAGCATTTTATGTTCTATGAAATGTTATTTTATGTGATTCTGACTTTTGAGTACAATGTTCAGAGAAGGGATCGACTAGTATGATCTCAGACAGTGAATGAGGAAGCCTTTATTTGCATGGTTGTGGGGAGAAACATGTCTTAGCTGCTGATTTTTTAATGTAGTGATCACTTGATGATACTCCATCATTGAACTGAAGAGTTGCAATCTTTCTGACTCTTCAGATTAAGGTGAGTTAAATAAACATTTGTTAGCTTCCTTCCCCAGTGACATTATCTCATTTTTTTTTCTTTTCTTCAGAGTGACCGACTACTCATTAAAGGAGGAAGAATTATCAATGATGACCAGTCCTTCTATGCAGACCTCTACTTGGAAGATGGACTTATAAAGTTGGTTGGCCAAAACATAATACTTTGAATACTTTTCTGATTTAGTTCAGTGGTGTATATGTTTATGTATGTGTATTCTATACTATATATTACTATGCATATAGTAATGCATGTTATATGTATGTATATATATATGTATTTATTCTGGAATTCTACCTAAGTAGTATATATATACATATATATGTTTATATACACTTATATATACACCTATATGTGTATGTATTTATACATATATGTATATATGTGAACATGTATATATGCTTATATATGTATGTATATATTCATATACGTGGATATGAGTATGTATATACAACTATATATTTTTACTTAGATGACTATTCAGATGAGTGCTTATATAGATTTTTCTGCTGATATTAGAAATACAGAATGATACAGGAAAATGTTCTTTGGGGTGGAATGTAGTTGTTATTATTTATGAGATTGGCTATTGGATTTGTAGGGTATAAAAAAAGTAAGATTCCACACTGGACAATTTGATCAGAGTAGAAGTTGTGACTGTCTATCTCTCTCTAATCTTTATGTTTTTGATTTTTTTATCCTTTCATTAGCATCCAAAGACCACTGGGGTAATTCAGAGCTATTGAGTGGTGATTGGTGCAGGGTAATGTGATGTCCAGTTGGTTCTTTCATATGCATATCAGGAAAAATTAAAGATTCACCAGTGTTTTTAACAGCATGAATGGACGTCTCTTAGCTATTGATTCTATAGGAACTGTAGTTGGTGTCCAAGGGGTGGAATTTGCTGGTCTATATTTGACCAGGAAGGGACCAAGAATTACCCTGGGATCTAAATGAGCAGGAAAAAAAAAGTAGTGTCCATGTGGGGTCCAAGTCAGAGATATCAGCACGAGGGCATTTCCTATATTGGGGTATTCCATGACAACTCAAGAGAAAGAACAGGTTGCATCAAAGGGGGTCAAATTAGTGAATATTTATTGAATGCCTGCTAGATGTTGGGCATGGTGCTAGAAGCTGAGGTGTATATAAGGGTGGATTTTATATTGTTATCACTCTATAGAAGTTTACAATCTGAGGATAAAAGGCATGTGTACAAGTAAGTATATTGTAAAATGGAGTGTCTGAGACATATAGAGCAAGAGCAGGCAATGGGATAAGGCTAGTAAGGAAAATTAGAAGTAGTTCAATTGTTTTCAGTAATGTGGAACTCTTCATGATCCCATTTGGAGTTTTCTTGGCAAAGATCCTGGAGGGGTTTGCCATCTCCTTCCTTAGGCAAACCCTGGACCAATATCAATCAATCCATCATTCAAGTATTAAATGCCTACTATGTGCCAGGTACTGTACTGACATAGTAGAATTATCTCCTTGTAATGACCAGCCAACCTTGTATCAATGATTCAGATGAAATATTGAGACTTTGGGGTGCTTTGGCCCTTCTCTAACTAAACTCCATTCTTCTAAGCAAATGAGATAATATTTGATAATCAAATTGAATAATATTTTTAAAGTGCTTAGCACAGTGCCTGGCACATAGTAAGCACAACAAATGCTTATTCCCTTTTATATCCCCTTGGCTCCCTTTCACTCCTTCCCCTTTCCTTTTTTTCCCTCTGTCTCCCTTTCCCTTTCCCCGACCATTCCCTATATCTAGTAAAGTAGCTTAGCTAGGCTCTGGAAGCAAAATAATTTCTTCATATTTATTCACTGCCAAAGCAAGGCGGGGGGAAGGGAAAGGAAAGAGAAAAGGAATCAAGGAAATGAAAGCCCAAGGCCTTAAATCACATTCGGATCTGATGCCCTCTTGAGCGCTATTTGAGGTGCTGGCATCGAGACACGATGCCCATCTGAGAGTGGTCTTGGCGGACAGAGTAGTGGAGTTTTGGCAGGATCAAGATTCAGGGCCCATTCCCAGTCTTCATTCATTCATGGATACCTGTGTATTCCTCTGGGCTTTGGAACCTACTCACTTCCTTTCAGGATTCCCTGTATCTCTGGCTAAGCTGCTAATCTGGATCTCTGGATCAAGCTAGATGACCTGCTAGAATATTGTAAATAGCCGTGTGGGGACTCCATTCCCACAGTCATCACCTGAATAGAGGAAGTCTTATGACTCAGCTGGGCAGCTCAGCTGTAATAGCTTCCCTAAAGATCTGCCCACCTTTACTCTCCACTTGCTAATCCATACTTCATGCCTCTCATAGAATAATCTTTTGTAGACAGAGCTGGTCACTTTAATCCTTTACAATGCAGCTAGTTGATGTAGTAGAGCTACAGGCCTGAAGTCAGGAAAACTCCTCTTCCTGAGTTCAAATCTAGCCTCAGACTCTTACTAGCTGTTTGACCCTGGGCAAGTCACTTAACCCTGTTTGCTTCAGTTTCCTCATCTGTAAATAAGCTAAAGAAGGAAATGGCAAACCCCTCCACTATCTTTGCTGAGAAAACCCCAAATGGAATCACGAAGAGTTGGACCTGGCTGAAAAAAATTGAACCATTGCCAGCAGAGAAAAGTTAAAACTCATGTCATTCAATTAACATCAGTCCCCTCAGTGATAACCACCGGCCCATTGGCCTCATAGGCATCACCCCAGGGTTGTTGGAGAATCAAGCAAAATAATGGATATAAGAGCAGTTTTTAAAAACTTTAAAACATGTGATCTATTATAATGATGTGAACTGTTTAGGACACCATTAACAATTCAATTTAATTGTTTGTTTAATTAATTAATTAATTCAGTCATTTAATAGATTAAACAAAGAGATCCATTTATCTATTTGTTGAGTACCTATTACTATATATAAAACTCTGTGCTAGTTGTTATGTGAAATACAAGGGAGGATGAGGCAGGGCCTCTTTCTTTTAGGAGAGTAGCTCACATGCCTATACAAATAACTCTAAGTCCATATGAGAAGCTCCATATAATCTGAAATTCAAAGAATGTCCTCATTCTTTTTTTTTTTTGCTTTCTCTTTAATTTTTTATTTTTAATAGTATCTTATTTTTACCAATTACTTATCAAGACAATTTTTAGCATTCTTTTTTTTTTATCCTTTTTGGTGAGACAATAGGGGTTAAGTGAATTGCCCAGGGTCACACAGCTAGTAAGTGTCATGTGTCTAAGACCAGATTTGAGCTCAAGTCTTCCTGACTCCAAGGCCGGAGCTCTATCCACTGTACCACCTAACATTCATTTTTACAAGATTCCGAGTTCCACATTTTTCTTCCACTCTCCCTCTCCTCTCCCTAAAATGGTAGGCAATTTGATATAGGTTATACATGTGCTATCATGTGAAACACATTTCCATATTAGCCACAGTTGTAAAAAAAGCAACAGATCAAAAGGAAAAAAATGAAAAAGAGTGAAAAAATGTACTTCAATCTGCATTCAGAATCAATCAGTTCTTTATCTGAATGTGGATAGCATTTTCCTTCACGAGTCCTTTGTACTTGTCTTGAATCATTGCATTGCTGAGAAGAGCTGAGTCATTCATAGTTGATCATTACACAATGTAGCTGATACTATATAGTGTTTTCCTGGTTCTGCTCATTTAACTTTGCATCAGTTTATATACATCTTCCCAGGTTTGCCCGAAATCTACCTGATCATCATTTCTTACAATATTTCTAACAATAATGTTCCATTATATTAATATACCACATCTTGTTCAGGCATTCCCCAATTGTTGGGCATCCCCTCAATTTCCAATTCTTTGCCACCACAAAAAGAGCTGCTATAAATAGTTTTGTGCATGTAGGTCCTTTTCCCTTTTTTATGATCTCTTTGGAATACAGACTTAGCAGTGGTATTGCTGGATCAAAGAGTATGCATAGTTTGCTCTTTGGGCATAGTTCCAATTTGCTCTCCAGAATGGTTAGATCAGTTCACAACTCCACCAACAATGCATTAGTGTCCCAAATTTCCCACATCCTCTCCAACTTTATAATTTTCCTTTTTTGTCATATTAGCCAATCTGATAGGTGTAAGGTTGTACCTCAGAATTGTTTTGATTTGAATTTCTTTAAAGTTATTTAGAATACTTCTTCTTATGCCTATAGATAGTTTTGATTTCTCATCTGAAAACTGCCTGTTCATACCTTTTGACCATTTATCAGTTGGGGAGTGGCTTATATTCTTAGAAATTTGACTCATTCTCTATATATTTGAGAAATGAGGCCTTTATCAGAGATACTTGCTGTGAAGATTGTTTCCTATCTTTCTGCTTCCCTTCTAATCTTGGTTGCATTAGTTTTGTTTGTACAGAAGCTTTTTAATTTAATATAATCAAACTTATCTGTTTTACATTTTGTAATGCTCTCTATCTCGTTTGGTCAGGAGTTCTTCAAAATTCTTTTTTTGAGTAGAGTCACCAAAGAGGAGAAACAATCTTGTATGAGTTCTCTGAATTCAACAAGACTTCTTGTGAAGGGTGGGGTATTTTTTAAACGATCCTAACTCACTCCCCCAAATTGCCAGGAATTTTTTCTTGGTCTGGGCATTGATGACAGTGATCCCTTTGTGCACTGACACCAGCAGGGTCCAGGTCCAGATGCACCAACTCATTTTTCTTAGCCTCCTCCCAAATGCCCAGAGCAATTCTGAAGGCAATCCATAATTCATGACCAGACTTTCCATCTGGTTCCTAGCTCAGAAGGTCATTGCTCGTTTAGCAACTTTGCTTATTTTGATTGGATTAAAAATGACTCAGAGGCAGGATGACACGTGTTAGTTATGATGAGCTATATTATAGGCAGCTCTCCTTTGCCTTTTTAACTGGGCTTTTCCCCTACTCCTCTCCCAATAGGCATATACTCTCTTCTATGCAAACTGGTTCCTTTATTATCATCTGCATGATATATGCTTGTTCTCTTCTGTCTGCCTTTGTTGACACTGATTCCCTTGGTCTGAATACTTTCCTCTATCTCCTTTTCTTGTCTAAATTCTATATATCTCCCCCTTCTTTTGTTACTCCTTACCTGATTACTCCCAACCCACAAAACCTCCTTCTCTCCTCTAATCTCCTATAGCCCATGTTGTCTGTGCTTGTAGGAAGGAAAGAAGGAAAAAGGAAAGGAAGGAAGGAAGAAAGAAAAAAAAGAAAGGAAGGGGAAAAGGAAGGAGGGAGAGGTGAGGAAAGATTAATTAAGTTCCTACTACATGCCAGGCATTGTGCTATTTGCTTTATAAATATTATTTCATTTGATTTTCACAACAACTCTAAGAAGTAAGTGCTATTATTTTTCTCATTTTACAATTGAGTAGACTGATGCAAATAAAGGTTAAGTGATTTGGCCAGGGTCACACATCCAGTAAGCATATGAGGCGGAATTCAAACTCAGGTCTTCTTAACTCCCACCTAGCTGCCTAAAATTTGCAAAGCATTTTATAAATATATTTTCTTTGATTCTCAAACAACCCTGGGAGGTAAGTGCTTTTATTATCTCTGTTTTACAGTTGAGGAAACTGAGGCAGGCAGAGGTTAAGTGATTTGCCCAGGGTCATATAGCTAGTAAGTATATGAACCAAATTTGATCTCAGGTCTTCCTGACCCCATGCCCAGGGCTCTATACGAGGTGTCTCCTGGCTTTGGCACTTGGAGTCATAGAACCTAGAGCTGCAATTCATCTTAGGGATCACCTCATGCAACCCCTTATTTTATATAATGATGAAACTGAGTCCCAGAGAGGGGAAGTGTCTTGCCCAGGGTCTTATGGGCAGTAAAATAACAGAGCCAGGATCCAAACCTAGGTTCCCTGATTTTGTATCTAGTACTATTTCTACATACTCCATTTGTTTTAAGTATTATCAACCCTATCTCATTTAAACATAAGATTAAAGTTAGAACTAAGTTATATGCTCTTTCTGCAACCCCCATAGTATCTCACACAGTGATGTCTGGGTTGATTTAAAGAAAAAAATTAATAGCTGCTCAAGTACTGAGAGATCAGTAATAATAATAATAAAAATACTACTACTACTATGACTAATAATAATAATAGTTCCCATTTATAGAGCCTCTTTATGATTAAGTTAGATGGTTTTACGGAGCAGTTTCCTTATACCAACCCTCTGAAGTAGGTGGTAGAAATATTATTGTCTCCATTTAATGAATAAAGAAAACAAAGTTCTGAGAGGCTGTGACTTGCTCAAGTTCATACAGCTACTAAGTGGCAAGGCCAGCACTCAAACCCAGTTCTTTTGACCTCCAGCCCCCTATATAATCCACTACACCAATGCTGCTGACTTCTCTCTTTGCATTGAAGAATATGGAATAATATTAAGAACCAACAATAACTTATTTTGATCTAACCACTTCATAGTTATAATTCATATTCATTAGCTCATTTGATCCTCATAACAATACTATGATGTAAATGGAGTTGTTGTTTTTCCCATTTTACATACGAGGAAACTGAGGCTCAGACCAATAAAGTGACTATTATTCTTTCTTTGAAGAAATTTAGTCCCTACCTTGCCAGCTTATGTATTCTGTTCTCACATGGCTCTTGTCAGGGAGAAAAATTATGTGATAATCCTTATTGCAAAAGGGGTGAAGATGAGTACAAATGATACCTTGGTATATATAAAATCCACATGTGCTGATTCTCACTTCTTTCTCTCGTCATCAAGCTGTGCTGCCTACAACTGGCACTATATACTGGGCAAGAGGAAAAGGGAGGTTATATTTTTGTGCATTCTACTTTGCAGATTTGATTTCATGATATTCAGATCCTTGTTACTACCACTTACTAATCTCTCTGTCACTCATTTTCCTTTTTTATCAAATTCATTCCTTTACTCAGTTTTATTCTCCGTCCCAACTCTTGCTATCATCCTCAGTCACTTTAATGTTCATGTTGATGACGTCCCAAAATCTTGGTCTTTCAGGTCATCAAGCATAATTATTGTCTTTCTTTTACCCTTGTCTCCACTTTACTCCTAAAACACACAGCAGGTGGTCAACAAACATTAATCAAGCACCTATCATTTGCAAGGTATTGTGCTAGGCACAGAAAATGTCAAGACAAGATCATTAAAAGAGTCCTTGCCTTAGCGGAGTTTATGTTCTTCTGGGGGATATAATTTACACAATTAAATACAAAATAATGGGGAGGAGGGAGGGAACACCAATTACTGGGGGGATCAGGTAAGCCTCGAAAGAAACCAAGGGTTCTAAGAGGCAGAGGTGAGCAGGAACACATTTCAGGAATAGGGGAGAGCCTATGCAAAAGCACATTGAGGTCAAAACTGTGATTTAGGAAGATTATTTTGGCAGACGTGTGTAGGAAAGATTGGAGAGCAGATAGAATTGAAGCAAAGAGACCCAGTTAGAAGGCAAGTGCCCTAATCTAGATGAGAAGTGAAGAATTGATAAGGGGGTGGCCATGTGAATGGAGAGAAGGAATCAGATGTGGGAGATACTGTGATATTGACAAAACTTGGCAAAGATTGACTATGGGGAAAGCAGTGAAAGCGATGAAAGTGTTGAGGGTAATTACAAGGATAACCTAGTCCTTTGACCATTTGTGTTCTCCTAATCCTCAATTCTGAGTAACCTCCAACATTTGTCTTCTCAACTCCTCCTCCTGAGCTGATGACTAACTGTTGGAGAAAAGTCACAAAACTTTTTGGATGTACTACAGATTCATGTAATCTAGTCTCCTTTGGACATTCCCTGATGAAGTAATCCTTGTATTTATCTCTGAGGGACTCATCACCACCTCCCAACAGTTATTGTAAACCTTCTTCTCTTCCCTCCACACCAAACTCCATTTTGTGTCCTCTTTTCTCAGCAAATTACCTCACCCAATTGACTAAGGCCAATCACCGTGAGTTTCTACACCTCTCCTCCACAACTCAGAATATTCTCTGTATTTTCATCTATTTTGTCCTCCTTTAATTCAATCTCAGGGTAAGGGGACAAACACTTGCTAAGTGCCTACTATCTTCCAGGCATTGTCCTAAGCACGTTACAAATATTATCTCATTTGATCTTCACAACAACCCTGTCATAAAGGTACTATGTTATTATCCTCATTTTATAGTTGAGGAAACCAAGGAAGACAAAGGTTAAGTGGCTTGCCCAGGGTTACACAACTAGTAGATGTCTGGGGCTAGATTTGAACTCAGGTCTTACTAACTCCAGCCCAGAGCTCTATCTACTGCATTGCCTAGGTAAACCCTCTTGCCAAGGCTAAACCATTTACCCCTGTTTTTGTTCTCATTCTTTCTCATTCAATTTAATTTAACAAACATTTATTAACTGCCTACTCTGTCTAATTACTGGGAATACTAAGGAAAAAAATGGGATAGTCTCTGCCTTCAACGGGCTTACATTCTACCGGGGAGAGAGAATCCAATCCAATAAACATTTGTTCAGAACATACATGTGCAAGGTAATAGATTAAGTTGGGCTATACATGCATATTAATAAATGTATTACAAGTATAATACAATGCATTTAAGGGCAGCATTACACATGGTGGATCAAGGAAAGTTTCACATAGGAAGTGGCCTGTGAGGTGAACCTTGAGGGAAGTCAAGAATTTTAAGAGGAGAAGTTGAGGAGGACATGCATTCTAGAAATGGGAGTAGTTCTTGCAAATGCAGAGGTGGGAGACAGAGTGTTGAAATCAAGGAATGGGTAACCCAGTTTGACTGGAATGTAGAATAAATGAGCTTCCTCTTTTCTATTACTCCATATTTTCTAAATTCTAGATACCCTGCCCCAACACATTCTGTCTCGGTTACTCTAAGCCCCCAATGACTAGAATATCACATCCCCTTTTTTGTCCACAGTGTTCTGGGATCATAAGCTTTAAAGCTGGAAAGGAAATTGTTCAATTCCATTATTTTATGGAGTATGAGGTTTTATGGAGTATGGTTAGTGCAACTCCACTATTTTATAAGTGAAGAAATTGGGACCCAAATTGATTAAAGGACCTTCTCAACGTATTATATACTGAGTAACAGAGCTGGGATTGGAACCATGGTGGTCATCTGCAACATTGCAGGGGTTGGACTAGTTGAAAAAAAAAATCCCTTTATCACTGATTCAAAGTGAAGTGAACAGAACCAGGAAAACATTGCACATTGTAACAGCAACATAGTGCAATGATCAACTATCATTGGCTTAGCTCTTCTCAGCAATACAATGATCCAAGACAATTCCAAAAGACTCATGATGGAAAATGCTATTCACTTCCAGATAAAGAGCTGGTGGAGTATGAATGCAGATGGAAGCATAATATTTTCACTTTCTGTATTTTTGTATGTTTTTTTACCTTTTGCAAACTAATTTTTTACAAACTCTTCTCTCACAGCATGACTAATATGGAAACAGGTTTTATGTGATTGCATACATATAACCTATATCAAATTGCTTGTCATCTTAAGGAGAGTTATGAGGGAAGGAGAAAACTTGGATCTCAAAATTTTATAAAAAATTAATGTTAAATATTGTCTTTACATGTAATTGGAAAAAATAAAACTATTTAAAAATTGGAAAAATAATAATAATAAAGTTTCCTGTATCTCTAAGGCTCTATGAGTCTGTGGATTTATATCACAGAGGATACTGAATCCATGGAAAAGTGCCTTAAATATAGAGAATATTCAGTAGTATTTCTTTGAGTTCATCCGGATGATGGAGACATTCCCTAGTAATTTCATCAAAAGCTTTATTGTTGATCAACTGATTTTTGCCTTCAGGATTCTGACATAATCTTTGTTTTTTGCCTTTTAGACAAATAGGAGAAAACTTAATAGTTCCTGGTGGAGTGAAAACTATTGAGGCCAATGGGCGGATGGTTATCCCTGGAGGAATTGATGTCAACACATACTTACAGAAGCCCTACCAGGGAATGACCTCTGTTGATGACTTCTACCAAGGCACCAAAGCAGCACTGGCAGGTGGCACTACCATGATCAGTAAGTACTGATAAATCATTCCTTTGGTGGCTGGGTCTCTGAAGATTCCCTATCTCTTAGCAATTAGGATGTGTAATAGAGAAGTCAGAATCATATTTGATCAATTATGCTCTTTACTACTGCACACAAATATTTACTGGGCAGCTATCATGTAGAAATGTGTAAGTCAGCATGGAGGTGACACAAGGGTATATAAAACAAAGTCCTGTTTTCACATTTCATCTCAGGTTTCTTTTGTTGAAAGGCCATCTTTTATCTTAGATGATTAGGTTTAGCTTTACAGGTTATGCTAATTGAGGATGTGACTCAATCTCTGTTGCTTTTCAGAGAATTATATTCCAGTCCCTTTTTTGAATTCTCATCAATTGGGAATAGTTCTGGCCTATTCAAAATAGTTTTCCTAGCTATTTGAAAACCTTTTCTTTTTATACACACATATGTATATATAAACACATACATATGTATGTACATATGCACTTATATGTATATTTGCATATTTGTATATATGTATATACATAAATGCTATATATATGCTTTATAAAGAAATTCAGGAATTTAACTATGACATTTGTTTGTGATTTAAACTTGGGGTTTTCAAATATACTTGGAATCTTATGGATTCTATTAAGGTATTCTTTGCCCGCTGTATGAAATACTTTTTTTTCATATATTACTTTCCTATATTTTTCCTGCACCATGATTTATAGTTTAACTTTTTTTCCGGGGAAACTTATAACTCAAATAATCTCTGCATATTTTATATTCAAAATGATTTAATCTGGTTACATAGAACTCATATATTTTAACAGTGTTACTGCTTTTTATGTAATACCCGTAAAAATTTTATTCCATATCTATGTTCTTGCATTCTAAACATGTCATTCTGTTTCTCAGAGCTTCTCTGGTTTTGGAATGATTCTGTTTTGTGTTTTCTATATTATGAACTCTTGTTTTTCAGTCATTCCAATCATATCTAATTTTTTTTGCCTCATTTAGGGTTTTCTTGACAAAGATACTGGAGTGGTTTACCATTTCTTTCTCCAGCCCAGTTTACAAATGAGAAAACTGAGACAAATAGGGTTAAGTGAATTGGCCAGGGTCACATAGCTAGTAAGTGTCTGAAGCCTGATTTGAATTCAGGAAGATGAGTTTTTCTGACTCCAGGCCCAGTGCTCCATCCACTCTGCCACCTAGCAGTCCCAGTTAAATAAGTGTGAATTCTAATTTCTCTTAATTTCTTCCTTTAGTACTCTGTTTTCTGCCTTAAATTCTGATTTAGTTTCCATCCTCCTTTTTCTTGTCATTTTTCATTGCATAATTTTTCCTTTTCTGAACAATATTCAGAATTTCTTATTATTCTTCCAATATTTCTGGATACCCTATAGAATTTATCGTCTTGCTATTTATTTTCATTAAAAGTTTTCAGGTTGCTATCCAACACTGACATATTTATTCACTGAGTTATATTCCTTTTTGACTTTCTTTTGGTTCTTTTCTCCATCTTTTTATGAATGTCACTGATGATCTATATGCTGAAGTTATACCTAATCTTTTGTTCTCAATCTCTGTGGTTTCTACACTTTATTTTCTGTTCCCAGTAGCTCCATATGGAATACATACTGTTTAGCTCCTTCTTCATCCATTAGCATCCATTTTAATCTATCCAGACCTTCTCATTCTGAAGATGTGTGGAGATTTGGTTTGATCTCTGCCTTGGAGAAACTTTATTATTAGTCATTTTCCTTTGGGTTTATACCCTCCCATTGCTCCAAGGAAGTCCTTTTTTCTCTGGATAACTTCGTAATTCTAGGTCTCTTTGGCTGCCAGTTTTCCACCATGGGTATGGGTGGTTTACTGTTCTATCTTGATTGCCACTTCTGAAAGGCGACAGGATAGAAGCCACTGCATCAAAAACATGTAATATAGACCTTTGCCCTTTTATCTGGGTACAGTTAGGGGTAGTTTGATCCATTTCACAGCCTTGTTTTGTCATTCCATAAAGCTTTATATTGTGGCCAGGTTTTTCTTGTCTACTTTTCTTCATGTCTAGACCTTTATTAAAAAAAATGGTCACTAATTCTTTGGGAGCCTGTGATTGGTAAAATGTTAATTGTCAACTTTGGGAGAAGGTATAGGAGATCAGCTGGCTACCTTAAATATGTGTCCATTGGTGTAATACTGTCTGGCACCCACTGTGAGCCCAGTATTGATCCTGAGATACTCTAGAGAACACACAGTTGAAGAGGTCTTCACAGGGGGCAGTCCAATGCTGTGCCTTATATTTCCTCCAGGAATTGGTTCTTTCTTTCCACCATTCTGGGGCACACATACAATTTGCCCTGGCAAACTCCAACAATATCTTGAATGCTACTTAGCAGGCCTCAGACCTTTCCTAACATCCAGACTTATGGTTTATCTAACTCATGGATAAACCCTCCTCACATGAGGTAACTAGAGATAATACAGCGTAGTCTCAGAGGGCTATCAGAAATAATAACTGTTTTGTATAATGTTAAATTAATACTACAATGGGATTTCCTGGTGGAAAGATGCCTTAGGCTATGATTTAATCAAAGACTCAGAGTCATAAAATGTGGAGACCTATAGACTGCAAAGCCTAGACTCTTAGCACTAGAAGGGACCTTAGGACATTGAACCTAGAACATTAAAGTTAGAAATAAACTTAGATCATGGAACATAGAAGATTAGAATTGAATTTTAAAAAAATAGTAAAAGGATATAGAGCTGGAAGGTTAAATGGCTTTCCCACTTAAAAAAATTGGTTGTCTACATATACATGCAAATATATGTAAAAAGTCAGACCTGGCCCAATGGAAAATTTTAAAGTAAGCAAAATTGATCTGTTTCCTCTGCCCTTCATTTCAGTTTTCCTCCCTTTCCCCACCCTCACCTGCCTCAGACCTTCTTACAATCATTCCCTTTGCTCTCACCTGGGTGACCATAAGTAGCAACTGATTAATTGGAAAAAGCTTTCCTTGTGCAACAGTTTTTCTAGCAAGACTTGTACTGGATACCTTCTAACGGGGCCCAAAGACCTTGGGAGTCATATTTCTTCCCAGTTTGGGAAGAGAGGAAGCTAATGCAAGATCAAGAATGGAGGACAGACCTTTAGGAAAATAGAAGGGGAAGGGGATAAAAGAAGGGGGGGTGATAGAAGGAAGGGCAGATGAGGGGAAGGGGTATTCAGAATGCACTCCGTCTTGGAGTGAGAGAGGGGTGAGATGAGGAGAAAATTTGGAACTCGTGAATGTTGAAGACTAAAAATAAATAAATTAATAAATGTTTAATATTAAAAAAAGAAACTTCCAAAAAAAAATAAAAAAGAATGGAGGGCAAATTCTTCTCCCCTCCCCCACACTCCTCTCACACCTTGGACAAGGAAGAGAAAGAATGCACAGAGAGGAGGAAGATGGCAGGCCTTCCCCCATGCATGGAACAACAATCAGACTGTGGCTGCAGTGGCCACATTGGTAGTTCCTTTACTCAAACCCAGGTGAAAGGTAAAGGGGCAAGTCTCAAGGTATGTTGGAGTTTCTTGCACAGGTGGCTGGAATACTGAGGGTAAAAAAAAGCAAGGAGGCATTAATGATCCTTACCACCGCTCCCTACTGTAGTTTAGATAGGAGTAATTGATACCTATTTCTAAATCATAAACACCAGTGGCATGCCCTGTTTTGGTTTTTTGTTTGTTTGTTTGTTTGTTTTGTTTTGTTTTGCATTTTCTGGTTTTCCTGTGTTTATGACAGGAGGGTAAAGGACAGATCTAGGATCTACTTCAGAGGAGAGTGACCTTTCCTAATTCAGGGCTTGCATCCCAACTCCCTGCTAGCCCATAGTCAGAGAATTTTCACTAATAGAGGCATAGTTGTAAGCTATTCATGTTTCATAATTTAACTTCCAAGGGCAGAATTGTTAGGAACTTGGGCTTTTTGAAGTCTGTCTAATCAAACCATAAACTCAACATAGTGACCCCTAGTGTTACATACTTGGATATGTACTAGTATCCTCAGGAAATCAAATACTCTATGCTCGTTAAAATGCCTGTCTTCAGAAGGTACCTCATAGACAAAAGGAGAAGACTAATCGGGAATATTGGGTGGCTGGGTGAGGAATCAGGGTATTTTGGTGTCCTTCAAAGTGCACCAACCTGGTGGTTGCTTAGCCTGCTTCTGCCAATGGCTCAACCTTTTAATAATAATGTAAATAATTGTCATAAATAGGACAGCTTATATTTATATCATGCTTTTCAGTTTGAGCATCATTGTGATTCTTAGGTCATAGCATCTGTGTTTCTAGTCTCCTTTTAAAGAAGAGGGAATTGAGTGACTTACCCACCTACACAAAGCTAGTAGGAAGGGGAACTGACCAGAATCCAAGTTTTCTTCTATGAGTTACTCTCAGTTCACAAGGAGATATCAACTGCCTAATCTCTCCATTTGAACCCCAGATATATAGGACCTTGCCACTGATCCAGTGTCAGAAATGAAATTTTGACATGAATTTGAGATTTTTCTGCCAATGCTGACTTGAAAGTAGTATGTATGGTGCATTATTATTTTGCTTTGAATTAGAAGAAATTCTGTGAGAAAGAAGATTCATTCTATTATAATTAGAAAATTATGGAAGCAGAGATGGAAAGGAGCATAGAACACAAGATGCAGGATATTAAAACCAGAAGAAACCTTAGAGGGGCAGCTAGGTGGCACAGTGGGTAGAGCACCAGCCCTGGATTTAGGAGGACCTGAGTTCAAATACAGCCTCAGACACATAACACTTACTAGCTGTGTGACCCAGGGCAAGTCACTTAACCCTATTGCCTAGCCAAAAAAACCCAAAAACAAACAAACAGACGAGACCTTAGAGATTGTCTAATCCAGGTTTTATTTGTTTATTTTTTTAACCTTTTTTGGTGTCATGGAGCCCGTTGGGAAAATGATGAAATCTATGGAAACCTCGGAATATTTGTAAATATACTAAAT